GCGCTCAGTGTTTCTATTATAGTTGAAGCATTGTTGTCTTGTGCATATTTCAAAAATATATATATGGTCAAAAACAAAACTAATATTTTGATATTTTTTGTTTATGTCATATTTCATCGAACATCATTTCTATATTCTAGTTCCTGCTGCAGTAGAGAATGTGATCATAGAGAATATCACCACCAATTCTGTTCTCCTGATCTGGCAAACACCTGAAGGGAACAGAAGTTCATATGAATTAGAAGTTTTAGGCGATTCAGCATCGGTTGTGAGCCTTAATTCTAATGACACATCTTACCTTGTGGACCAGTTAATACCTGGGAACTTTTACACATTCAATGTCTATGCCAAAGCTGGAAACGGTTTGACTGGGGGCATCGCAGAAAACTATACATACACAGGTAAACATAGAATAGCAGGTTGATATCTCATTATAAAATTTGAAAAGCAAATGATAGCTAAATAATTACAATTCAGAAGATAAAAATAAACTGCTTGTTAGTTGAAAGGAACCTTAATTTGGTAAATATATACTAATAAGTTTAAGGTGACAGCAGAGTGACTTAGTTAGATTTGACAATGCATTGACTATACTAATTTGACAATGTAAGATTTTAAAGCAACTGTGGTATATCCATGTTTTCCCTTTGTTAAATCCAGGTTAAGTTTCTTGAAGGCAAAATCTTTTGCCATTTGCCAAGACAGTGTTGCAATGGGTTTTGACCTACCATGCAATGTTTCTGATGGTTGCTGTTATTCACAATCAAGGCGCTCAGTGTTTCTATTATAGTTGAAGCATTGTTGTCTTGTGCATATTTCAAAAATATATATATGGTCAAAGACAAAACTAATATTTCAATATCTTTTGTTTATGTCATATTTCATCGAACATCATTTCTATATTCTAGTTCCTGCTGCAGTAGAGAATGTGATCATAGAGAATATCACCACCAATTCTGTTCTCCTGATCTGGCAAACACCTGAAGGGAACAGAAGTTCATATGAATTAGAAGTTTTAGGCGATTCATCATCGGTTGTGAGCCTTAATTCTAATGATACATCTTACCTTGTGGACCAGTTAATACCTGGGAACTTTTACACATTCAATATCTATGCCAAAGGTGGAAACGGTTTGACTGGGGGCATCGCAGAAAACTATACATTCACAGGTAAACATAAAATAGCAGGTTGATATCTTATTATAAAATTTGAAAAGCAAATGATAGCTAAATAATTACAATTCAGAAGATAAAAATAAACTGCATGTTAGTTGAAAGGAACATTAATTTGGTAAATATATACTAATAAGTTTAAGGTGACAGCAGAGTGATTAGTTAGATTTGACAATGCATTGACTATACTAATTTGACAATGTAAGATTTTAAAGCAACTGTGGTATATCCATGTTTTCAGTTTGTTAAATCCAGGTTAAGTTTCTTGAAGGCAAAATCTTTTGCCATTTGCCAAGACAGTGTTGCAATGGGTTTTGACCTAATGCAATGTTTCTGATGGTTGTTGTTATTCACAGTCAAGGCGCTCAGTGTTTCTACTATAGTTGAAGCATTGTTGTCTTGTGCATATTTCAAAAATATATATATGGTCAAAGACAAAACTAATATTTCAATATCCTTTGTTTATGTCATATTTCATCGAACATCATTTCTATATTCTAGTTCCTGCTGCAGTAGAGAATGTGATCATAGAGAATATCACCACCAATTCTGTTCTCCTGATCTGGCAAACACCTGAAGGGAACAGAAGTTCATATGAATTAGAAGTTTTAGGCGATTCATCATCGGTTGTGAGCCTTAATTCTAATGATACATCTTACCTTGTGGACCAGTTAATACCTGGGAACTTTTACACATTCAATGTCTATGCCAAAGCTGGAAACGGTTTGACTGGGGGCATCGCAGAAAACTATACATTCACAGGTAAACATAAAATAGCAGGTTGATATCTTATTGTAAAATTTGAAAAGCAAAATGATAGCTAAATAATTAACTTTCAGAAGATAAAAATAAACGGCATGTTAGTTGAAAGGAACATTAATTTGGTAAATATATACTAATGAGTTTAAGGTGACAGCAGAGTGAATTAGTTAGATTTGACAATGCATTGACTATACTAATTTGACAATGTAAGATTTTAAAGAAACTGTGGTATATCCATGTTTTCCCTATGTTAAATCCAGGTTAAGTTTCTTGAAGGCAAAATCTTTTGCCATTTGCCAAGACAGTGTTGCAATGGGTTTTGACCTACCATGCAATGTTTCTGATGGTTGCTGTTATTCACAATCAAGGCGCTCAGTGTTTCTATTATAGTTGAAGCATTGTTGTCTTGTGCATATTTCAAAAATATATATATGGTCAAAGACAAAACTAATATTTCAATATCTTTTGTTTATGTCATATTTCATCGAACATCATTTCTATATTCTAGTTCCTGCTGCAGTAGAGAATGTGATCATAGAGAATATCACCACCAATTCTGTTCTCCTGATCTGGCAAACACCTGAAGGGAACAGAAGTTCATATGAATTAGAAGTTTTAGGCGATTCATCATCGGTTGTGAGCCTTAATTCTAATGACACATCTTACCTTGTGGACCAGTTAATACCTGGGAACTTTTACACATTCAATATCTATGCCAAAGCTGGAAACGGTTTGACTGGGGGCATCGCAGAAAACTATACATACACAGGTAAACATAGAATAGCAGGTTGATATCTCACTATAAAATTTGAAAAGCAAATGATAGCTAAATAATTACAATTCAGAAGATAAAAATAAACTGCATGTTAGTTGAAAGGAACCTTAATTTGGTAAATATATACTAATAAGTTTAAGGTGACAGCAGAGTGACTTAGTTAGATTTGACAATGCATTGACTATACTAATTTGACAATGTAAGATTTTAAAACAACTGTGGTATATCCATGTTTTCAGTTTGTTAAATCCACGTTTAGTTTCTTGAAGGCAAAATCTTTTGCCATTTGCCAAGACAGTGTTGCAATGGGTTTTGACCTGAAATGCAATGTTTCTGATGGTTGCTGTTATTCACAATCAAGGCGCTCAGTCTTTCTATTACAGTTGAAGCATTGTTGTCTTGTGCATATTTCAAAAATATATGGTCAAAGACAAAACTAATATTTCGATATCTTTTGTTTGTCATATTTCATCGAACATCATTTCTATATTCTAGTTCCTGCTGCAGTAGAGAATGTGATCATAGAGAATATCACCACCAATTCTGTTCTCCTGATCTGGCAAACACCTGAAGGGAACAGAAGTTCATATGAATTAGAAGTTTTAGGCGATTCATCATCGGTTGTGAGCCTTAATTCTAATGATACATCTTACCTTGTGGACCAGTTAATACCTGGGAACTTTTACACATTCAATATCTATGCCAAAGGTGGAAACGGTTTGACTGGGGGCATCGCAGAAAACTATACATTCACAGGTAGACATAAAATAGCAGGTTGATATCTTATTATAAAATTTGAAAAGCAAAATGATAGCTAAATAATTAACTTTCAGAAGATAAAAATAAACGGCATGTTAGTTGAAAGGAACATTAATTTGGTAAATATATACTAATGAGTTTAAGGTGACAGCAGAGTGAGTTAGTTAGATTTGACAATGCATTGACTATACTAATTTGACAATGTAAGATTTTAAAGAAAGTGTGGTATATCCATGTTTTCCCTATGTTAAATCCAGGTTAAGTTTCTTGAAGGCAAAATCTTTTGCCATTTGCCAAGACAGTGTTGCAATGGGTTTTGACCTACCATGCAATGTTTCTGATGGTTGCTGTTATTCACAATCAAGGCGCTCAGTCTTTCTATTACAGTTGAAGCATTGTTGTCTTGTGCATATTTCAAAAATATATATATGGTCAAAGGCAAAACTAATATTTCAATATCTTTTGTTCATGTCATATTTCATCGAACATCATTTCTATATTCTAGTTCCTGCTGCAGTAGAGAATGTGATCATAGAGAATATCACCACCAATTCTGTTCTCCTGATCTGGCAAACACCTGAAGGGAACAGAAGTTCATATGAATTAGAAGTTTTAGGCGATTCATCATCGGTTGTGAGCCTTAATTCTAATGACACATCTTACCTTGTGGACCAGTTAATACCTGGGAACTTTTACACATTCAATATCTATGCCAAAGCTGGAAACGGTTTGACTGGGGGCATCGCAGAAAACTATACATACACAGGTAAACATAGAATAGCAGGTTGATATCTCACTATAAAATTTGAAAAGCAAATGATAGCTAAATAATTAGAATTCAGAAGATAAAAATAAACTGCATGTTAGT